TGAGGACAAGGTGAAACTCTGTCGCCCGGCCTGTTTGGAATCCATTACGTTGTGGGTAGCCTGGACTTGATGCTCCTGGATCTACAGGAGGGATGTGTGTGTGCATGTGTGTAGACAGGGAGCTGTGTTAGTGCCTGAGCTTATAAAAGAGGGTGTCTCTGCAAGCTGATGTGACGGAGCTCTGAGTTGCCTGCTTTACAGATGCCTGGAGATGAATACCTTCTGTCACAACCGCTTTATTCTGCTGTTTTCTTCGTCTCTCGGCCTGCCGCTCCTCCTCTTCGTCACTCCCTCGCACCTCCCTCAGCAACTTGTCGGCTCTTTTATTTTGCTGCTCTCCTTGATCCTCCGCCTTTAATTCAGTCATTACCATGTTGGTTTTACATTAGTTTTTTTTGTTCTTGTGCCTCTGTTTTTAATTATTCAAATAGCACTGATGTCTTATTTATTATGCCCGTCTATGTTTTCCAGTCCTTTTGCCAATGAGGCAAGCTGGCTTTGTCAAATTATTAAGATTTATTTCCAAGTTTTCCATCTCGGTCTTTTATTTGTGAGTGCCGTGTGTGCTCTGTGTGTTTGGATGTAAATACTGCTGAGTAGACATTGATGTGGAGCCCATTTCCCACCCAAGACTAACAATCCACGGTCGCACTGTTTGTTGCTACAATGTAGTGCAGACTGCTGTTAAAGTCGACCATGAGCAAGGTGGTTTTCATCTATAAAAAGTATGTGACCTTTTTATTTTTATTTTCTCTATTCAAAGAAAATATCAAGGCAACTGTAAAGAACCAGAGGAGGTTACTTATTTATAAGGCACAGCTCAGGAAAATATCAGAGTGTACACAAGCACAAAAACCCAAACCAACATACACTAGATGGGGAAATCAGATTTATAACACTGTGCATGAACATTTCTGCAGGCAGTGTTTCTTTTGTAAATCACTGTGCCACTGGAAATGTGCACTCATGAATCAGCCTCATCTAACACTCTTCACTTCACACCCACATTTATTATACAATGCAAAGCACCTCATGAATGCTAATGCAAACACATGAGCTCGCTGATCTGTGATTTTTAATGGTGAATCATACAAAACTGAGATGAAGACCAAGAAAAAGAGGAGAAATGTTTTTTGTTTTTTGTTTTGTTTTTGTTTTTACAGGGAGATTATTTGAGTTTCTTGTGACTTAAGTTCATCTTAGAAAGTGCATATTTATATCTACTCTGTATTTTTGGTAGAAGATGAGCATTTGCTGTAGGAAATAATGCTGTTTGGTGTTAACTTGAGAGACAAATAAAATGAAAATGATCAGCGTGCATTTTAGTTAGTTTAAGATGAATTATACATCAGACATAGATATAAGAGAATCTTCTGCTGCTTTGACATTAGTTTTTTTTTTCTTAAAAATCGATCAAATATAACCCACTACCCAGAATGCATTTCTCGACCGCCACATGCAAAGCAAATTTAAACATAACATTTATTTTTTGCAACAAAGCTATCTCAAGTAATTATTAGGAAAATGTAAAAAAAAAAAAAAAAAAAAACTGTCTTTACTTCAAGAAATCTTCTCTATCATGAGTTTTATTTATTTATTGTTTTACATATTAGTCATATTCAATTCAATTATACATTTTCTGTAGCTGATAAAGTGTCCGACGAACTAGAAAGTGATGGAAGCTAAATATCAATATCACTTTTAATAAACTCCCATTGACCTTGCAGGGAATAATTAGGCAGTTCACAGACCTCATTGTTTTAATGAGGTCTGTTTGAAGGTTTTGCATGTAGACGTTACTACTTCAGCCTTTACATGCATTGCAGTTCGACTGGAGAAGCAAAGCTGACGATGTCTTTGGTTTGCACATTTCACACCAAAAACATTACAATGTGAAATTATTTTGTAAAAAAAAAAAAGAAAAAACAAACAAGAGACATGTTTACATTTAGTAACTGCAAAACATATTATTCTCTTTTGATGAATAGAGATTTTCACTTTCATGTCTGAACACTTATCTCTGAATGTGTGCTGTATAGTGCACACATACAGCTTCACCACTCTTACCCTTGATTCCTCCTCACTTCTACAATGTGCCCTCCAGAAACGTGAGGAACTTAATCCTAGTTCACATAAAATAATAATGAAGTTTGTTGGACATATGAGGGCAGAGTGCCACATAGGTGCTTTTTTTTTCTTTCCTTTTTTTTTTTGCTCAAAAGCACAATGCATCAACTAAAAGCTTCATTAAATATAAATGGCTCATATTAAGTGAAAATGCAGGACAAAATGGAGCAGCTTAGAAGTCCTTAAAACCTTTAGTGATTCACTATTCAGGAAAATGGGGGACAAGCCATTTGCAGAGCTTTCAGGATTCTGATGATGAGACTGCGAGGGGGCTTCGAGGGAGGTAGCATTTCACACACGAGAGCATTAAGCACCTCATTGGCAGAGTTGGAAGTACCTCTCTTCAAACTAATAAAAAAACATTGAGCTTAGAAAGGAAATGGTATTTTGCAGTCATGTGGTGAGGGCAGAAAACCTAAAAAAAAAACTAAAAAAGAACGTGAGGTCTGATTTGAGTCTGAACCTTAATATCACACACAAAGTAAATTTAAACACTTCAGGTTTTATTTACTTCCTTCTTAACAGTTACTTAAACGTATTTTTCTAAACAGTTGCTGTTGCTCTTTAATGGACTAGAGAGTTTGCCAGCATGTTGTTCATTAATCTGGTCGGCTTCAATTTCTGATATCATGCTGTGGCATGATATCAGATTTTCAATCATAGTTGTTGACATTGCTGAACGTCCTGTTAGATTGATTGCTGCTGACTTTTTAAATGCTAAGCATTTGTTTTACATTTTATTTTACAAATCAGACTGAATTGAGTACATGCAGATGCAAACATGGCTGTCAAATCCCGCTAATGGGAGTAATGTGCATGTATACGCGTCTTGTTGCAGAATTAGAAAGACGCGCATCCTTTTGGTTCCAGTGTTAGTTCTGCATTGTTACACGCAACAGAAGATTCAAGCCGCCATGAGTTTAAAATTATAATCTTGCTAATTAAATGCCGAGAAAAAAACAAGCATGGCTGTCACTCCAAACTGCTGGGGTCTTGCGAACGACACAGAGGTACATCACTTAATTTTATTTCTAAGTAGCATTCATGTTAACATTATACTTTACATGTTCAAAGCTTTCATCTTGGCATGTAACATCTGACCACTGGATCTTGTTGAATCTTATTCCTCTGTGATGCAGTAGCAGTAAAATATTACGTGTTGTGCTAAAGAAATGTATCGGAAGCCAATTCTGCTGTGAACATTGTCATTATATCTGTAATTGCATAGGAAAAGTGAAGCAGATTTCAATAACAATTTTATCACTCATGATAAAATGTGTGTGTGTGTGTGTGGGTGTGTGTGGTGGTGTGTGGGGGTGTGTGTGCGTGTGTGTGTGTGTGTGTGTGTGTGTGACAGGTTTTCATGCTGCCCATTGTTACTATTGGTACACTCAACAGATCTGCACAAATATCCATATAAGTATAATTCTAAACTGCCTATGAGTCAGTGTTGGTTTATTCAAAAGGTAATAACAGGATGAAACTCCTGGACTCTTCATTTTCCCTCAAACCACAAGTGTTCAATACGATGTAGTTCTGGGGAGAGATGTCCTTGATTTTGTGTCTAGTCAACAATTTCTGCATTGATTTTGGCCGTATAATTTGATCTTTTTCCTATAGTGATAAGCCATTGTCAGTTTTCTGAAAAGATCTAACAGATTTTTCATTTTAAAGGTCCTGGAAGTCCATGCCATTCTAGGTTTCCAGGACCTATGGAAGACAAAAAGGCTAGCTGCTCCCTCACAGATCCTCATTCATCTGCTTCACTTTTCTGTGTGTCTTTGCTATGGTGAAAAAGCACTAAGAGATATCCCCGACCCGGGGAAGCAGAAACTTTTGGATTAAAAAGTTCCAGAACAAATCCTTAAGAACTTAAGAAGTGTAAATGAGAAAAGCGCTTTAGTTTCATTTTATATTGCATGAATTCTTAAGGGTGCCATTAAAAGTTGCAACGATCTTGTGATTTCGTAAAACAACAACAACAAAAAATTAAGCTATGCTTAAACACTGAATAAACGCTGCAAAATTAAAGGATGGATGTGTCCTTAAATTTTTCAGAGGGGATAACGTCGTTTCTACTGAAATAAAATGGCTTTGCGGTTTTTCTTCAAAGTCAGCTTTTCAACACATTTCCTGTGCCTGCATCAGTGCTCTTGTGTAAGAGTTTTCCCCAGTTCTTAATTCATGAATATTCACGCTCAGATTATCACCTTTTTCCAAAAACAACAAACCACAACATTGAAATTCTTCTAACGCTTGCCTGTGTTTTCTTTTTTCTGCCAATCCCCAGAATATCTCCAGGCTGCTGTTCTCTTTTCATGCTGGTATTTTTAACCAAAGCATGTATAATATTAGAAACTACCTAGTAAGCTTTGTTGTGAGTTGAAATTTGCTGCTTTCATGGAGGATTTAAGCATCGTTTGTGTTTTTATTGTTCTTAATCATGTAAAGTAAACGGCTTACTCCTTCACACATAGCAATGAAAATCAGGCTTGCAGTGCTCATTGAAAAAAGAGGTATTGCACTGGTCATGTTAGAGTTTTTGTGTACGCCTCTGCACAAATAGACCTGCCAACGTTGTTTGTTATGACAATGAAATTCCCTGTCACCTCAAATTGCATTTGGGTTTCAACCTTTTCCCTCATGCTGCTGACATTATCCCTCAAGCTCTAAGTAAGCAGGTTTTTATGAAAACCACAGAGCATACTTAACGCTTAGTCGGAATATTATTCTCCCATGGAGGCATCCCTAATAGAGCTGAAATACATTTATTTTCCAGTCAGTTCTTCACACTGTCTTACAACGCTGAAAAAGGCAGCAACTTTTATGGGCAAATTAGATGTTGAAAACTCTTTCCTTCTGTGTTTCCACAGAAACCCCCCTGAAGGACGGTGAAGAAGCGGCGTCTTCCTCAGACTCCGCCGCAGACCCCGCCTCCTCACTGTTCAATCACTGGGGTCGTGACCTGGGCCCAGAGAGCCGACGCGTCGCGCTCAAAAAGTTCCGCTACTTCGGATACAACGGCTACCTGAGCGACCGCATCTCCCTCACCAGGCCCATTCCAGATTTACGACCGGACGGGTCAGTCCACCTTAAGTTGTGCTGCTATGCAGACAGCGAAGCATCTGAATCTCTGTTTTCCTTCTCTTCAGATGCAGAAACATGTCTTATTCGTCAGACCTTCCTCAGCTCAGTGTAATCTTCATCTTTGTCAATGAGGCGCTGTCAGTTTTATTGCGCTCCATTCACACGGTCATCCAGAGGACACCATCCTACCTCCTTAAAGAGATCATACTCGTGGACGACAACAGTAACAGCTGTAAGAATCCCAAACCTCTTTCTTGATCTTCTTTTTGACAGTTGCCCCATTTCAGCAATAACATGTTTTTTTTTTTCTTTGGGGGTTTAAAGACAGAATGTCGACTCATTTATATATCCAGTCTGCCCGGAGGCCCATTATGCTTCACATAAGAAGGTGTCTTATATTTGGATAACTCTGTTTGGAATGATTTTCTTTGTCCGAAAACCAAGTTTTGTGAGTTTGCAAAAAACACTTTACAGCTTTGCCAATATTTCTTTGCTGACATATGGATTTATTGCACTGCTTTATACCCAGCCTGTGTTCTTGTAGCTGCGGATGGTGGAGGATGGTTTATTCTTCCCTCTATACTGATATAACTATGTAGCCTCAAATTTCCCAGGAGTAACTGGCAGGAATAGCAAATAATGACACAGACCGTCTCCTTCATCCTGATGTTGGAAGGATAAAAAATGAGTAAACTTTTTGCAAAGAAACATGAGTTTAATTTTCCCTCTTCAATTGATCATTATTTTCTCATTACACTGTAATTCCAATCTAGTTGGAATTCACATAAATAATTGCAGCTGCATGTGGATAGCCAGGATGCCTCACAATGTTTTGGTCTGTTGCCCACTATCCTGACTGCCCACACATTAAACACAGTCATCTGTGTCGAAGTGGTGCCTTAGTAAGAAAGTAGCTACTTTGCCATTAAAAACAAGTATTGTGTCACAACATTTTTACAGACACTAAAATAATAAACACAGTACTTTTACAATACTGCAGTTTGTTCACTTCATTTCCTCACAGAAAGTACAGGCCAACCGATTTTCTCAAAGCATTTCTCTTTGTGGAGACAACTAAAATCACCTTAAGTCCCTAATTTGTTTGTCAGACTTGAATTTATGATGCAGAGGAATCAAACATAGTCTGAACCAGTCCATACCTGGACATTTAGAACAATTTCAATTTTGTGGAGAAGAGGGACAACTGTTGACCTCCTTTTTTAAAATTATTTGCTTATTTTTACAGTGTACTAAAAGTAAGCGATGCGTAAAATTAACTGGGAAGTTAATTAATTAATCCCTTCCTTAATTAAAAAAAGAAGAAAAAAGTCTGTTCTGAGTAGTAAAAACAGAGTTTGGGTCACTCTTTCTCTGAATATGCCTCTTGTATTTAGTGAAAGTTAACGAGTTAATTAAAAGCAGATTTGGGTGCATCGAAGCCTGTTTTTAAGTAAAAGTCACCGGCTAGTCGTGATCCTATTCACTATGAAATTAAATAGGTTGTGGCAAAAGATGACTACTTTGTTCCAAACATTCTCCATTTTACCACAGTTTTAGAATATCTCCAACAAGTTTGCCCTAATTGAAAATATAATTCTTCCTCTAAATTAACCGCCTGTGCTGGAGTCCCAAATTAGTGTCATTTTTAAATTGCAGCCAGGAGCCACACAAAATCTGCACAAGGGTGACAAATTGCCTGTGGGGCACACTTAGGACCCCCCTTTGGCACTGAGGTTATACAGTAGAACAGTGATCCAGAGCACTAAAGCAAGTCCACCTCTGGATGGCTGAAAAATAAAATGGCATTGGAAATAATAAAAGATGAATGGCTGAAAGAAAGAAAACAACTTTTTTCTAATACCACAGAATAGTCTTTGTGATCCACAGACGAACTTGCAGTATACCACTTGGCATTACTGGCAATGCATAATCAAACAGAAGCTGATTAAATCCCCCCCAAAGAAATTAAAGACTTTATTGTCACATTAAAAGGCAACGATCCAGTCCCTGAGTCCAATTAAGTGCTGGCTTCTTCAGGTAAGCTACTGCAACAAAGTTTTGTATTTTATTTAGTGATTATTGTATTTTCTGCTTTAGGCCATGTGCTAAATTAGGACATGAGTGGGCATTAACTTCACCAGTAGTGTGTGAAAACATAAAAAAATGGAAAGAAAAAAAAAAAAAACTAAAAACAAACTTGCTAAGACAGTTGCAGTCCAGGCCTGGATGTGACGTTCTGTTTCTGGGCCAGTGTTATTAATTGTTCCACATTCTGTGGAGCATATTGTATTTCATAGCTGCCAAATCTATAATTACTATTATGAAAAATCTGTCTCTGCTACATCGCCTGCAGATTTTATGGGTCTCTCACTGCCCCTCTGTTCTTCTGTAATACAATATATCACGGTTTAGTTATGGTAGCTGCACATAGCTGAATGCTGATTAGTGTAGCAACTAGTGGCATAAATACATGCATCAACTTCCTCACATTATTCTCTACTAATTCATTACAAGCATTTATAATTCTCTAAGAAATGTGACTTAATCCTCCTGCTTTGCAGTCCCTTTCAATTGCATGGTGGTGTGTAACAATCAAGACAGGTGAAGAAAAGTAAGAGCTTAAATAATAAATTCTGCTTATTGATCTACATGGTATAATTAAGACAAATTAGCCAAGGCTGGTTGAAATGCAAGAGCACTTACTGCGCACTGCCAAGTAAGTTGTAAATTATCTAGGACATTAAAAAACACTTGAAATCACAAACCTGTTTGAAAAAGATGGCTTTTTCTTCTTCTTCTTCTTCTTATATGTGTGTGTTAAGAAGCTTTGGGCTGTCAGTATTTTACCAGCAGCGGTCAAAACTCCTGGGTCGATGAAAAATAAGGGATTAATTGCCATGGGGGAGTAAAATCCCAGTTCATATAACTTCACCTTGAGATGAGTGGTTTAAATGCTGATGTTGCTGTTACTGGCTTAGCAGCACTAAAATTGTTAAGTTGTTTACCAAAAATATAGAGAACTAAATGCTAGAAATGTTTGTTGCTGTTGTTGTGTTGTTTTTTTTTTATCATTTTCCAAATTAAAATGCTAGAAGCATTTTGATTTCAAGTGTCTTTGGACAAAGTTAATTTGGTCAGGAAAAGGCTCTGATTTTGGCTTGAAAGTGAAATTATCCACTTTAATCTACTGGTACAGCTCAGTTTAAATATAGTGAACAGGCTGAATGTTTTTTCCACTTAATTCATAAAGTGAAATCAGTATATTGCTTATTGATTTCACTCTGCAATGTATCATCTTGCTGTGCAAAACATTTCAAACATTTTTTTGTGTTTGATGATTGCAGCTCACAGATGATGGAAAGGGGTTTCAGAAATCAGAATGTTGTGGGAAAATGATTGGAAATGCATAGTACCGATCATTAATCAACTAAATAGCTCTCAACTGCAAAGGTTTTACAAAGCTGTAAATTATCTCTCTTTCTTGGTCTTTAGAATGAGAGCTCAAGAATGAGCAGCAGAAAAAAAAATATATTTTTAACATAAACACTCTGCTTTTTTGGCATGCAGTTCTCTGTATTTATTACTCCACTCCAATCTATCTCGTGATTTTGAACATCCAACTTGGAACAATCTGCTATCCCACTGTCTGTCAAGTATAACTAAAAGGAACATTTTATTTTTATTACCATCCAAAATTGTAAGTGACCATTTATTTTTCTGTCCCTTTGGAAATGGCAACAGTTAATCTAAATAATATATGTCGGAGAGTGTCGCATACGCCCAGAATGAGGTGATTCCTGTGATAATCCAATCTCTTGCAATGGACCCATGTTACTTCCAGGTCAGAAACACACAGCACAGAAACGCGCTTCGTTTAGGGAAGCGCATTTTGGAGCTTCAAGGCTGAAGGCATTAACGAATAAAGAGAATATGACAGAGACCATAGCCTGCAGGCACAATTACACTGAAGAATCATAACAAGAAAATGAAAATATTGTGTGCCCAGTGTGTATATGTCTGTTTTTCAGTGACTGGGCATTAGGAAATCATCTATGAAAAATGACCCCAATAATGATGTCAATGACATTGTCTGTTCTTTAATTTCTGTAGATTGGGGCCTGAAGTGTTGTGTTTTAAGATATTTAAGCCAACTTTGTGTTTTGGATTTATGCAAGTCAATAAAACCGATCAAATCGGTGTTTAAGTAAGGTTCAATAACTTCAGCCCAACGTCAAGGTATGTTTCTGTATTTCTTTCTTTTTAGTGGAACTGAAGGAGCACTTGCAGAGCTTTGTGGATGAGACAAATGCTCAGCACGGACCGGGGTTCATCAAAGTGGTCCGCCACGCCAAGCAGGAAGGACTGATCCGGTCCAGAGTCAGTGGATGGAGGGCGGCCACTGCTCCTGTGGTTGCTCTATTCGACGCACACGTAGAGTTCAACACTGGATGGCGAGTAGAGAATTTCACAGAAAGAGAGATAAATCGTCCTTTATTTGGTTTATCCATTCTATTGGAACAAATTCAATCTATTAGAGTTTATTATTTGTAACTGTCCAGCTGGATCAGGATAATCCTATGAATGACTGACATGAGCGCAGATTCTTTTCACCATCCACATTGACGGCTATTCTGCTCAAAGGGCTGCACCAAACGCACAACAGAAAACGATTATGGATGAAACCAAATGTAGCAGAGAAGAAACAGACCATATATTTCTAGGAAATATATTGTGGGAGATTAGTGTGAGATTTATAGAATCTCACACTTTTTGTATCATACAGGGGGGAAAAAAAGCAAATGCGTGACGCCTGGCTCGTGTAATGTTCTTATGAATACATTCACACATCTTTCCATTGTGAATATAAACTGAATTTACACTCTGTAGCTGCTGTTATGTTAAATCTCAAAATATACGCATGCACAATGCAATCTTCAAATTATGTTTTCATGTTCAGGGATGGACTGAAAAGTAACTTAAACTCTATGCTTATTCTAAAGGTTTTTTATTGTTTCAACTAAATCTAAAATTCTCAAGAAAGCAACTCACGTCACTTTGACCATGGAGACAAACACCAAAAACATTAAAGCCCCAGAAGTTAAAAGAAGTGGATTATTTGATCGACTATAACCACAAGCGAGTGTTGTTGTTTTTTGACACATACAGCACGTGCTTGCAAAAGTATTCACATCCCCCATTTTACACAATAAAGATGTGACATTGACACACCTTGAAGAATATCTCCCTAAACTAGTTTTTTTTTTTTTTGTAGCCTCTAGCAGATTTTCTCCTGAACTTACAGTTTTTAGCTCCATCCATCTTCCTCTCAACTTCCTCTCCTTTAACATCTCTGCTGAAGAAAAGCGTTCCCTCAACATGATGGTGCCACCACCATGTGTCACTGTGGGCTTGGTGAGTTCAGAGGGAAGTGCAGAGTAAATTTTCTGCTACAGGGTTTGTGCCTGTGATCCATAAAAGCTAAACTACAGACAGGTGGACAATTTTTTTCTCAAGAAAACTAGTTGCACTTATATTAAGGGCTATGAAGTTACAGGGGACTGAAAGCAAATACATCCCACACTTTTCAGATTTAGAAAAACATATATTTAAAAAAAAAAAATCCACTTCAGAATTATGCTGTTGGTCTATTACATAAACTTCTGTGAAAATATAGAAGTTTGCAACTTCAGTGGTGGAATATTTCAATCTCCATCAATTCCTTTGAGACAAACTTTATAATCTACTGAGACTCCCTTATATTTCACGTGCCGTTATAATGCAAGATTGTAATAATTTAGACCCATTATATGTGCTGAGGCAGTGGGAAAACTGGAAACAGTTTGAAAAGATTGCAGATTGATCAAAGCAGCATCGTCTCTCACTCGGTTCGCCTGTGACTGCTGCAGTGAAGAAAAGAAGCAGCAATGTGTTGACAAGCTCATTCATGAAAAACCTTTCTGGGTTTCTCTCGCTGCATTACCACTATCAAAAGCTGTGTAGGTGGAACCTCCTTCTCTGTAAACTGCCACTCAAGGCAGCTCTCAGCTGCAGAGGCCATTTGTTAGATATTTACTAGCATTTTAGGTCACAGAGCTAATTGTGTAAAATTGGTTGTCATGACAGCAGACAGTCCTCACAATACAAAGTTCTTGATAAAAATATGTTGTTGACGTTATTTACGTTTTTTTTGTCACAAACGTTATTGCATATTTAATTTTAAAGCCATATACCCACACAGAGTACGACTTTGGATAATTTACTTTGCACATTCAAAGAACTACAAAAGCCACTTTTTGTTTTCAGGTTTTTACAAAAAAAATCTAAAACTTTTATTTGGTGGATTCAAATCCCCTTACATAAAGTCCAGTGCAACCAATTCAGTCCATAAGTCACTTACTCAGTAAATAGTTCACGTGTAATTTGAACTGCGTAAAAATATAGTGGGAGTATGAAGACCTCGACGGTGGTAAGCAGAGCAAATTTAATTTATCATCCAGAAAGTGAAGGAGTCTGGCAAAACGGCAAAAATGTCAAACCATTAGAGGAGCAGCCAAGACGCCCTTGATTTCTCTGGAGGAGCTGCCAGAGCTGCACACCTCAAGTCTGAAAGTCTATAGACAGAAAAACTAAAGGGCACAAACTCTACAAGTTTGGCCTTCATGGAAGAGTGGTGAGAACTGAGCCACTGTTGAAAGAAGGAAATAAAAAGTTACATTTTCAGTTTGCCTACAGTTTGAGTGTGGCAGAGAACTCAAACTGAAACTCATCTTCCCCTTTGTGGCTCGTGGTAGTGGCAGCATTATGGTGCTTTTCTCCCAAGTGGTTCTCATCAGAATTGATTGAAAAAACAGGTAGAAATTAATACACAGCAATCGTTGGAGAACGTTCTTTTTAGTTGATACTATATCAACTAAAAAGTTGATATAGAACTAAAAAGTTTCTAGAACTTCCAGGTGAATGCAAATATACAGCAGACATTTCTGAATCGTATTTATTTATTATTAAATAAAAGCAAAAACAAAATAAATCTACATTGTGACTTGCATACATCAACCCATCCCGGTTTGGTGCCGATTGTCTGCGGATACATGTACAGATGAGAGGTCATCTGTACATGTTTTGATCAAAGTGAATTTTTCAATAAAAACGTGTGTCTGCAGTATGTCCACTAAATACGGACGTCTCACGGTCATCTCAAGCTGCATAGAAGCTAATTTGTTTAGCAAACATTGAAATGCTACAAATGGTTTCTGCATTCCTGATGGACATTTAAATTATATTAGTTTGCATTCTTACTCAACATAAAGTTCACCAGACCTTCTGCCAACTTCCTGAGAAGTTGGCAGATTAATAACAGCCAACCATACCGAGACAAGGACGATGACACAAAGCAGGAATTTTTCCTAATGAATCCATTAAAGACTGAATTACAAAGCAGTAGTTAATTACTGCCCCTATTAACATTGCTTGTTATGTTTCATCTGTCACAGTGATGAGGCTGCTCAGGCTCTCTAACATTTTAAGTGCCATTTTCTGTTTCCACACAGATTTCATGTCAGTTTCTTTTTATTCTGGCACCATCTTCACCTCGGGATCCCCCCTTGAAAATACTCTGCTACAACAACAGGGCTTTGTCCCTGTTAATCAGTCTGACAGCCCAAAAAAGTATCACACTCTCATGCTCGAATCAGAGTAACAAGCATGCACGCAGTTTGCTCCCAAGCACACTTGTGTAAGCAGAGCAGGCGTTCTCGCTCGCACTGCATTATAGCGTCTGGGTTCGATCCAAAAGAGCATTTGTTGGCTGCTGTGTTCCAGATTAGAAAAGAGACACTTACAAGGTTCCTAACCCAGCTACTCTAACACCCACACAAGCCCTTTATCCCTTACTCTCTCCCTCTGTAAATGCACCTCTTCATACACACAGATCCCACACAAACCTCCTACATGGCGCTACTGTGTGGTTACTGGTCTCTGACTAATGAAATCCTTCCTGGCAGAGACGTAAAAGAGCACAGCTTGATTATAAGACTTTTAATATTTCGCTTTTAAAAAAACAAATTGTGCTGAAATATTTGTTGGTTTGGTGCCGATTGTCTGCGGATAAGTTGGAGGTGCGTTCGTGCCAGCTTTATTAGCAGTCAGACAAATACACGCTGAGGAATGAAGAATTAGAGAGCCCTGCCCCTCCAGTTCTTCTTACTTTCATTTTTCTTCCTTCGCTTACAACTTCCTCTTAATCCTTCATCCTCCGTGCTCCGAAACACGCCCACTCCCTCGCAGATTTCGTATTTACTCACAATTATCACTTTTTGTGGAAATTGAGAAATTGCTGTATAATTAGCCTCCAAGAACTGATTGCCGGATCTGCTAATTGTCTTTTTTCCCCTCGTTGTAATTATCTGCAATGTTGCCTATTCTGAGTCAAACACAAGTAATTACAGGGTGTTTTGTGTCAGAGTGATTGTCTAGCTGTTAACACGCTAATCCTTTATCTTCGATGCTTTTATCTGTGATCTCCTGTCATTCTTAACAAATTTTCCTTATGCAAAATACAGTGATTGCACATTGTGATACAATGTATGCTTTTTTTGGGGGGCTTGGAAGCAAATCACTGAAAAAAAGGAACCCTGACTAATCTGCATAACTTGGATCTAGTTACCAAAACATCAGTTTTAAATATAATCATAATAAATGGACACTTTCTATTTAAAAATATATATATTTCAAAGTAATTGTGCTTGTTTTCAGTGGGCCCTTCAAATTGGGTCAGGATCCCACAGCAGGTTTTGCTCTTGTGATGATCTCCAGATAATATCAGTGTGAAAATGGATTGTGAATAAATACAGCAGAAAAAATGGGCCATTTTGAAAAAGTTAAACATTTTTTGTCATTCATTTCAGAAAGTGAAATGTATATTTCTTGATTTAGAGCATAATCAGAGGTTTACAGAGTGTTGAGTTTGGTTTTTTGTGTTTTTTTTGTGTTTTTTTTTCATGGTGATGAATTGATGTGGTGCCAGTGTACCACACTGTACTCTTATTCACCAGTTTGGCTTGGTCTTTGAGAATTTAAAGCAACACTGGCCATGATAAAACCCTTTCACACCCACACCACACTGGCAGCACCACCAGTAACTTATTGCATTGCACTTGTCGCTACCTTTCTACAACTCAGATGCCCTGTCCATTCACTGATAAATACAGCACCAGTAAACATTTAATCAAAAAAGAAAGTTGAGCAAACTTACACAACATTCATGGCTGTAGAGTCCATATAATTATCATTTCAGTGTGTAGCTCATAAAGATGTACTGCAAGGTGATATAACATGGGAGGCTTGTTGTGGGATGGCGGACTTGGGCATCTTGTCAAAGAAAGATATAAAAACCTGTCTGTCATGTAGAGGAAGTGTCATCTTTGACTTTCAAATTAGCTGTCATCCAGGGACAAGCTGAGCTGGAGCTCACAGTGCAAAGTCTTCATCCAGGGTGTGCAGTGGGAGAATAAAATGTTTCAAATAGGAATCAAACTGGTTTTGAAAATCTCTGTGTGTGTGGGTTTAAGTTTATGTAATAAGTTACTTTGTCTATCTAAACTGCCCTTCTGTATTACTGCTGTGGTGATTGCTGATGGGTGGATGGTAATTATTGATTCTTTTTTTTTTTTCTTTTCATTAACTTACTAGGAAATATTACATTTACAAATAATTGGACAATGATCATTTCACCTCTTCACACTACGGTTTTTCATCAAAGTCTAAAAAAATATTCATCTTTAGATTCAAAATGGAATACTTTAATTCTCAAGAATGTGAAATCAAGTCTATTAGAGTTATTGTTTTCTAAAAAGCCAAATAAAGAACAAGAAAGAAGTATGTTTAAAAATTAAAACTGAGCATGTTAAAATCCTGGAGTTCATAGATGGAATGTCGTTTACCTCAGACTTTAACTTAAAAAATTAGAGTAAGCTAAAAATGTCAAGCAGATGCAAATGAATTCCAAGACTTTAATTAATTTGACTACAAAAAGTCAAAAGTTTATCTTTGCAAAAACTTGCTTGAAGACATTGTTGCTCTTGGGTAATAAATATAATTCCATTTTCTTTGCAATAAATTGGCTGATAATTAATTGGCATTTACTGAGGCTACGCTTCATTTAAATGAGAGTTTCCCAGAGATTCAAACACCAAAGACTTTTAGCATTCAGTAGTGAGGAAACCGTCTTTTTTTTTTCTAAAACTTTTAAGCCTTTACAATTTCTTAATGTGGAGGTTTCACTAATTGTTTTCCTGTTATTGCGGATTTTTTCCCTCCGACTTATTACAGGGTTGGCTAAAAATGCTGACCGTGTTTCTGTTTTACTGTGGAGTAGTAAATATCCATTTCCAGTGATGAGGTTCATCGACAAGAAAAAGACAGATCAACACAGGAGTTTCCTCTCCAATCTAATCACAGAACGTCAGAGTATTATTAATAATCTATCTATACTTATTGGCACTCTGGGAAAATATGTGTAAAAGTCTTTATTTGTTGAAGTGGAAAAGTCTCACAATGATAATAATACAACCCCATGTTTTTCTGGAGGACAACATTTTGTCTTGTAATGTAAGATTTCACAAGGATGTACCAATCAGAGAAGTTTTGCTCTATTCTATCCACATTGTCAAGAGTCCTGACTCTTCCCTTCTGCTCAACTAAGAGTTTTTTTATTGCATTAAAAAAAAACTGACTAACATGACAGTGGAAGACGTTTTATCCTATATCTGCAAAGTATCTTCTGTGTTAAGGCTATCTAAAATATCCTGATATTTTCTGACATGGCTCCGCCACAGTGACTATGAGATGATTTCCATATATCCACATTTATTTTTATGCCTGACATCTCTGAGTTAAACCTCTGTTATCCAGTAAAGTTACTTCATTTGTTTTGGTAACTTTTTTCCAGACATACTTTACACACAACCTGCTGAAAAGGATCTTATAAAAGCATATATGAACCTCTACCTTAATTCTTACTATATTGCAATATTATCTGGTCTTTCCCATTTCTGAGAGAGACTAAAACATGAGACTTGTTTCACACAATGTTTAAGCCCATTTATTTTACACATTAAATTTTATAGGAATTATTAGTGGTGTAGTGGTTTACTATCATTGTCCTGATTCTGTCATGAAACACGTAAACAGGAATAATTACACTATAAACAATTAGTTCCCTCAGGAAACATTTAGGTACACTTTGCATTTTTAAACGACGGCCCTCATGAGCAAACTCTCCCATAGGACAAAAAATTTCAATTTTTTTCCTCCATTTTATTGCCTTTATTCCAGCTTTTTAGTACAACTGTGCAGCAATTTCAGGTCTCTTTTCATTGCCATTGAACATTTGATAGACATTTTATCTATGAGAGAACTGTGTCATCTGGCAAGGTTTAAGCTATTTAAAACTTTTCAGTTGAGGCTTTTGGTTTTCCAACGAATCTTTTTTAGTGAAAACCTTTAGAAAAAAAAAGTGCTAATCTAGTATAAAGAAGACAAGAAGTGATTTACAGGTTTGCCTTCAGGACTGAATCAAGGTTGAATTTTGCTTCTGTATATGACAGCTGAGCCTGATGCAGAAAACTTGATTGCTTGTCTAAAAATGCTGAGCATTTTTCCCCATTTTTTTGTGATGTCTGTCCTTGATAAACTAACTGGACCCGGGTGAACACTAAGTCATCTCACTGTTCCTGCAGATTTGCTTTTGCATCCTCAGGATCCAGTATTATCTGATTGTGACCTGATCTATAAATTCATAACCTCAGCTCTGCTCTTTGAAGTCTGCAGATTTCCCCAGATCTCTGCTGACACCCAACCTCATCAGATTTCAGCCTTGCGCCCTCTTTGAAAGGGTTAAACAGGGTTTAGACCGATCTTCCTGGGAATTCATATTTCAGACACCTAACTTATTTCTTTCTCTAATGGCACCCTGCCATCTGTAAGGAGTCAACACCTCACCGCTTGGATTCAATTATGTTAAAGGTGCATCTGACCTTTCTAGTCCAGACTCACTCTGCACTATCAATTCACTGCACGCAATGATTACACCATATAGGTTTATGGATATTCAATAATGGTAAGAGTTGTTCTCATTTTTGTAATTATTTTTAAATCCTAATAAACATGAAACTGATAAATAAATGGCAGAAAATGTCAAAGCATTTATTATAAACTTGCTTCAATCTCATATCGCTTGTAGACAAAGTTTATGTAGGACAAGTGTAGTCGGCTTATTTTGTCTGCTTTTGCTAAAGTATGGCTGTCAAAAACGAAGTTAATCACACAATTGTGCGTCCAAAGTGAATTAATGAGTGCTCACCTCAAAGAGACTTTATAAATCACTTGTGCAATTTAAGAGCACATCTATCAGATTCAGCCTCATAAAGTTCAAGTTAAGTTTCTCGGTATAAATCCCAGCTGTTCTTAAAATTAATGTTGTGAGACTAAAACAGACCTTTAAAATGTAATAAATCAAAACTGTTACAGATAATGGAGACAATAGGTTCAAGCAGCTTTAGAGTTGGTGGGTATTTTTTAAAGAAATCGCTTTAAAATGACATGAAACAAAATCATCTTGTCTTTTATAAGTTGTTTAAAAGTTAAGAGACATTTAGTGGTGCCTAAACACTTGCTCATACAGGGACTGAATGTGGGACACATCTCATTTGTAGAAGAGTGGAAATAAAACACAGCAATTTTTTATAATTTTTACCATTTTGTTTATTTGTTTATAAAAATTAAATGTGAATTAAAAGGCATTTTTGGCTGGTTTTGGGTCAATTAAAAAGGGAGACCAAAAAAACAGGTTTTCTCTGCTGCTTTGAAAACAGGGGGCGCCGTTCTTCCACTTCAACTATTCGGGTGCCTATTGAAATAATTATTTCCAGCCAACGGCTTTTTTTTCTAATATATTTTTGACATGCAAAAAATATATTGAAGTCCCAGAAAGATCCATTTTGACATTAATCTTTAAACGCTAAAGGTCGTCTGTGCTCCTTCACCTCACAGGGCAGAACCGATCCTGCAGAGAATAAAGGAGGACCGAACCAGAGTGGTCTTGCCTTCCTTTGACAACATCAAGTATGACACATTTGAGATTGAGGAGTACCCCCTGTCTGCTCAGGGCTTTGACTGGGAGCTCTGGTGTCGATACCTCAACCCACCAAAGTCCTGGTGGATGCTACGCAACCACACAGCTCCCATCAGGTAAGCAGAAAACGTTCTGTGCATTTCTTCTGAGAACATTCCAACAATGTTGGGGCTGGGGAAAAAAATCTTGGTTGTATTAACAAGCGTCAAGTAGTACTACCTTCCCTTAAAGCATATCGGTCTTTGATGAGATCACATACTAAACTCGATGATTGAATTCTAATTCAAAACACTTTATTCAAAATTCATCATGCATGAGCTGTAACTCGCTGAAGCAAAATTGCAATATGGAACAAACATGCAATTCCACAAGGCAATGCAGGCATATTACCAGAAATTCAATACCTGTGGCCTGTATGATTAATATGGGTTGCAGGGACTGACATTAGAAATAAACCCAGCAATAAAAGCAAAGTTGCTTACTCACCGATATCTGCAAAAACCTCTGCAGTTGCTAGCAAACAAACACAATGTTTATAGATTATGACAAAAAAACATGTCTTCAGTATTATGACCAAGAAAGATGAATAGCCCCAACTATTTACTTTTCTATATGGCCATATATCTGAGAGCAAGAACCCTCCAGCTGTTTGACAAAGAGTTGTCTGAAACTTTGCCGACTCAGAAGAAAGTAGTTGACTAGCTGATTTTCAGAGCAGAGACAAAAAACACATTTATAAATTCTTCCATTATCAATGGAGTGATGAGAACCCGAATGCAGAATCAAGGCATGCAGTATGCAGAGTAAGAAACATAAAACCATCCAGCAACATATCAGGGTGCATGGGAGGATGAAGCAGGTGGATCTGAGCAGTGGTGATCCAAATATCAGCTGCTTGGATCCACAACTTGTACTTTCAGTCCTGACTTTTATCTGATGACATTGTGTGAAACTCGAAAGGTAACAAGACCAGTAAATCAGTAGATTCACATTTTACACTTGTTAGCAAAGCTGTGTTCACTACAACTGGCTGTGGCAATACCCACATTACTGCAGTCTATCCTATTGTTGGTCTTTAAAAATAAAATATTGACCTGAACTGCTTCATACTGACCTCTGATCCAGAGGGAGCTGTCTTTCTGGTTCAGAGCCATGACCCCTCTGACTTAGAGGAGCTGACTTTTTATCACGGACGTTTCACATGGCTGCACACTGCTCTAGCGGCAGATGAATGTACCTGAAGATGCCAAGAGAACCGCATCATCTTGAAAACGCAAAGTTCTCCACCTCTATTGACAAATAAATGTGGTAAAAAATCGACCATAGCTTATATAGGAGTCGTGATCTCAATGTGATGTTTGATGTTGAAACCCTGCCGTGGGAGCGCTGTCTGTTTGCCAATCTGTCTATCCTCAGGGAAGAAAAATTCCTCCCAACAAGTTGTTTTTGTCAGTCTGTTGTATTACATATTGATATGAGGAGATGTGTGGGACTGACGGGATGAATACTAATCGGAGTTATTTTTCCACTCCTGTAGATTCAGTTTGATGTCGATCCCTCCTTTTTGACAACTGTGCCGTTTGTTTGTTTGATGCCACATAGGTTGAGTTTGACATGCTGAAGCATTTCTCCAGAGCTTCGAATATGTGCCGTTCTTGGGATGAAAACACAGCTCCTGCGGGTGCGATTTCCAGTGTGGGCTAATTGTGGGTTAGAATAAGGCTTTTTGTATGTGGGCTTCAGAGAATATTTTCATTTACGCTTCCCTATTGCTTTGCATTTAAATCAGTTTTTTTTCTGACACCTCTCTTTCCTCCGTTTCCTTTCTATTTCAGGAGTCCTGCCCTGATTGGCTGCTTTGTGGTCGACAGGAAATACTTTGAGGAGATCGGCCTGCTCGACGAAGGAATGGAAATTTATGGTGGAGAAAATGTGGAGCTCGGCATCAGAGTAAGACAAATTTCAGCACCCGAGGATGTTCATAATATCTGCTGCATGGTGCCATCTGGAAAAGTGTCTTGCAGCCATTGTCACTGTCTGAATTGAAATAATCTTAATTGTAGCCTGGTTCCTCCTGCAAAGGCAGACAGATGACCTTTCCTTTGACATAATGGGAGCTTTATCTGTCATCCACATTTTTCACTTAGCCTGACTCAAGCAAACTGAGCTGATTATTAATTATTTAACTGCATTCAGAAAAAAATGTAACATCAAAATTTTAACAGTGTTAAAAGGACAATGATATTATTGAACAGCTATAAAATGAAGCAATATTACTGGTATATCTTACTTTATATTGCCGTGAAGGTGCCGTACTTATTTTCAGTATAACATCTGCTTTTATACTTTAAATAAATTTAATGTATAGGCTTAGATTTATGCATTTACAATATCTACACAATATTTATTTATTTACAGAGCTCAGAGTCACGCACGGCCCTCTGAAGAAAGAAAATGGTGACAAACGCAGAAAAGAAAGGCTGAGACTTTTAGTAAGCTTACTGCGCTGATCTTCACTTGTTTGACATGTAAGAATAGGTTATTCCTCTGCATATGAGCGCTGCAAGAACGCACACTAAGTAGCTGACTCAATTACAGGTCAATTACAGGACTTCTTAGTACCAACTCATTATCATTTAAATGCCACATCCGACCTAAATAATAGATCAGGTCTCTAATATATAATAAAACTCCAAAATTTAAGAATTCTGTTTTTAATGGGGAAGCAGATTTTTTGTCAGGTCCTTTTCTTGGATTCTCTTGCTGCAGCATTTTGGACCAGCTGACAGCTTTTAAATTTGGGAGTGGGGGTTTTTAAAGAATCACAATAATTTATCCTTTAAAAATAAAAAGTAGTTTTCCTACAACATTATGGAAAGTTTGACAATGTTATGCAGGTGAACTATGGATCTTGAAAGCACCTGGATTTAAGGAATGTTATCAGTCAAACACGATCAACGGAGGATCCAGCATTTGGTGGGCAGCCCAGCAGGACTGGTCCCATTACTGACTGCATATAGTCAGTACTGACTAATTTGGTTTGTACAGGCCAGAGCACATCTCATTGTGAATAAATGAGCTGTTTTGCACTCTGTCCTCTTCTCCACTGTTTGGAAAAGGTGATTCTGTGATTTACCAATTCTCCTTATAGGAGATATTGATCCTTTCCAATCTCATTAAAGCTGAGACGCTCCAGTCCTCCTTACTATATAACAGAATGAAACCCATTGGCAAAAATCTAAACTCACCTTAGAAAAAAATAATTGTAGATTTTATGTTTTATGTGTCTGATGCTGTGATCCATTGAAATGGTTAGTGCAGCGTTGGTATCTGCATGCTGTTTCTACCTAAATGGTCCCACGAAACATGAGATCAAGTGAAATTTTAACTTGCCTGTTTTCACAGAAATATGTTATTCATCCCGGCTATTTTACCAAAACACATCAGGAATGATGGGAAGAATCAATATCTTCATTCTTTTGCTGACTTAGCACCATAACACTATAAATTGCTCCTCTTTTAGATCAATGATTATGCAAATCAGCGATGATGTTTTGACAGAGACAGTTGTCCTTGTGTCTCAAGGGCTTTTCTCTTATTCTAGATAATTCATCGCGCATGAAGTTCAGCCCAGGGTTTAAGGCAGAGAACAGCCAGTTTGTTTTATTTCTATCTGCGTCTCACCAACCAGCGCCGCCTTTTGTTATCATTGAGATTTATTTTCTCTTTCTCCCCCATAACATCATCATTATTATTTTTTTTTTTCCGCCAAAGCGTTCAGTATTTCTGGCCCTTTTGTGATTAAAAACTGCTTTCATGAAGCTTCGTCTGCGCCTCTGCATGTCGTGGTGCACATTTAATCCTCATTGTCTCAAGACGGCTTTTCTTTATCGCCACAGGCAGTCTTTGCTTGATATGCTTTATAACACGCAACTTCACTTGTAGTTTTATCTTCTCATTAAAACTTCTGAAAGTCCATAAGTACAATTTGGTGAACATCAACCCAAAAAAAATGAAAAATAAAAAAAGAAGCAGAAGACTAAGAAAACAGTTATGTGTTGTGAATGTTCTGCATGGCTGTTTTTCCCCAGAGGAGCAGATTTTTAGTTTGAAAGAGAAAGAAACAAAGCCCACCACCTTCTATTCATATTTTTATCCCCTCTCTGTAGTTCCCAGTTTATCTCCCTTTGTCACATTTTATTTAATGTTTCACACAATTTCTCCTTTTTTTCTCTCTCTTGTCTTTTTTTAACATTTGTCTCTATCTCGCTCTGCACACCCACTTTCTCAGACACTGTTTGCTATACTTGAAGAATACCTCCTCATGCTCTAACCCCGTGTTGTAAATCCTGGATGGAGAGAGCGCCGAGGTATTTCTGCAAGTGGCGTTCACCACCTCAGAATTTGGCTCTGGTTTTATGCTCCTGTCTGGGCTCTGAGCCAGTACAACAGTTTAGTTATTGCTCTGCAGCAGCTCTTTGCTTTGAATGGACGCAGGCAATGAGGCAGCCCTGAAGGAAAGATTGAACACACAAACACAGCAAGGGTTGGTATATAAATTAAAAAAAACATCCACAAAAGTGGAAATGCTGAGACTACCAGGAAACACCTTTACAGGAATTTGTATACCTCTTAAATTTGTATGGGCAACAAAGGGACCCTTGTGAAAAGTGCTGTAAAAGCAGCTATAAAAGGGACAGTTTTTGAATAATATTGATTCACAACTTTTCTATGCTTGGTTTCTGAAATAGTAGTACTTTCAGTCATCTTTTCCTCACAATCTCTTTAGAGTACTGTTACCGTGCATCTACTGAGCTCCCAAAAACTCTGCAAACTTCTGTTTGACTTGCTGGGATTTTGTGTGACAGACCAACACAAAGCAGGGCACTATAGTGAAATTGAAGAAAAATTATATGTGAATTTAAAAAAAGACACACAAAAAAAAACATCTGTTGTACATATTTATTCAGCTCCTTTTACTCTTAAATCACCAAAAAACATCAAGTAAATAGGTTTTCAGCAGTGTGTTGGAGTTTAATCTCAGTATATGAATTGTACATTAAAGATCATTAGAGATCTTTAATGGACAATGCTGCTGTTAGTTGGGAATAAAGTTATGAAAATGTCTAAAGTGGGGTTCACCTATATCTCCAGGTCGAGCAAAGAGAGTATAAATTAGAAAAGCAGCTGAAAGGAGCATTTAACTCTGGAGGAGCTGCAGAGATCCAAACATCAGGAGACCGAATACGTTGACGGGACAATGATAAGATATATGTCGCCTTTTCAGCTTCCCACAATCAATGTAGAGCCACACTTGCATGAAAAAGGTCAGATGAGACAGAAATTTTACTTTTTGGCCTATAGGCAAGCACGAGGTATGCAGGAAAAGTGAGTACGCCACCCATACTGTGGAAAATAGTGCTGGGATCAAAAGTGGGGACACTTTTTTCTGTAGTGACCGAGAAGCTGGTCAGAGGTTTTAATGAAGATGGGTCAAGTTAAATACTGTGCTTGTTAAAACCTACAAAAGACATCTTAGTGGGTTGAATCAAGATTGAGATGCGTTAAATAAAAGCATACCCATGTATTTGATTTAAGCTAACAGAGAGCTTTTGGTTAGAAAAATATTTAAAAACAGGAAGAATAGCTAAAAATGTCAGTTTCTATATGTGCTTATTCATATCCAAGACACTTGCTTCTGTAATTGCAGTGAAAATTGTTTCTACAAACTATTACATCAGGGGGCAGAATAGATGTGCACACCACACTTTATTACCCTTTTATTTGTGAGAAGTTTTAGGGGGAAAAGGTTATAATTTTTCTTCCACTGTACAATTGTGCTACATATTGTGTTGGTCGAGCACAACAATAGAACAAAATCTATTGACATTTCTGGCATTCAGTTAAGAAAATTTGAAAAATTTCATTACTACTTTTACAAGTCTTTGCACAAAGGCGTTTAGACTAAAAATCAGGACAGCAACAAAGCTGGTTCTTCTTTCTTTATTTGTTAATCAGGGTGACCTTTCCTTCCTTATTATTAGTTCCCTGAAAAGAAAACAGGATGATGATGGCAGCCTTTTTCTGAAAGGTTCAGGCAGTTTCTGACAATAAGCATTCTTAGTGTTTGGACAAAATGATTAAGTGCTCTAACATTATGTTGAGGCTGCTATGGTTTTATTGTTAGGGAGGGGTCACAAATCATCTATTATCTTTGTGAATGATAAAAGAAAAAGTTGCTGTCAACCTCCAAAACTCAAACAACAGCTGAAATGTCATTAGATGAGAAGGGTCAGCAGGCTAGGAGATGATAGTACCCACAAGAAACTATGAAGAACTAAACTAAATTATTGAAATTAATTAAAGCTCATTATCTGTTTGGCATTGTTTTGCTTTTCTAATTTAGTTTTTGTGTCTGGCCAACAGGAGGCTAAAGACATACAGTGGCACCTTTTGCATATTTACATTGTAGGCTCATCTGTTTATTAACCAATTTGATAATTAAAATTAAAATAGCAAATTGTCAAAATATAGTTCTGTGTGTGCCTTGAGAAGCAGCACTTTAGGACTAAATTTTGTGATTTTCAATCATAAAATCCTAATTGTCCAAATACCTCAGATTATACATGTTAGCCAAACAGGAAAATATTAATATGCTTTACAATCCAAGTAGATGCTAAACTTTACTTGGTGCACAATTTGAAGTTGGCAGAAGTTATTTTTATTTAGTTCTTTTTATGTTTTTGCAAAAGAGAGGCATTTTACCTTTGGTTTGACATATGACCTTTAGTCTGTCCTTTTGTCATCTTCAGTTTTATTTTGAAATGCAACACTGGTTCCTTTTTGTCGTGCTAGGAAACAGATGTGTAAATGAAGACATCTACTGATGTGGCATTAAAGCATTTCTAAAGGCCAGTCCATACTGTACAAGAACAGATAAATGTGTTCTCTCTCCCGGAACTGAAGGACATCATTCTGTTCCTGTGGTTCTGGTTTGGGAGTTTTCACAGCTTGTTCTTGACGCGTCACCTTCTGCTGTAACTGCTACTATAAACAGATGCTGCAATCAGAGGAACCCATGAGGACTCCCAAGAGTTCTGCACTTTACTTTTTATTAGGTATAGGACATCCTGGACATCTTTCTACCTTCAGTAAAAGTAGAAATTGCTCTGTTGCTCTAGGTTATGTATTGGCCTTATGTCAGTTTTAGCTGACTTTAAGCATAAGGCTTTGCTTGTTTTTTAAGCAAAACACAAGACTGTGCATTCATTCTTATTTTTAATGAATCCTGCATGAAGTTGTCGCCAGGTTAGCTTGGCTTTGCTGACATATTTGACAGCTTTCCACTGTCAACAAGGTGTAGAAAGGTGTAAAAATAGCAAAGCACCTGGATGAGCATCCTCAGCATGGTCTTACGGTTCTGATACGCTTCTGTTAACAGGTTGAGTCAACGCATTCGAGTAGTTAATCTGCTTCTTTCAACTCGCTCTGACTTGGCAGGTGCAGAAAGCACCTGCTGTTTTTCATTTTGAACTACCAAACAGTCTCTGATTATCCCAACAGGTGTGGCAGTGTGGGGGCAGCGTGGAGGTCCTGCCCTGCTCCAGGATCGCCCACATCGAGCGTGCGCACAAACCCTACACGGAGAACCTGACAGCCCACGTGCGCCGCAACGCTCTGAGAGTGGCTGAAGTGTGGATGGACCAGTACAGGAGTCACGTCTACATGGCCTGGAACGTCCCACTGCAGGTGAGCAGCTGCTTGGAGTATCATTCTCATGTTGTATGTGGGTGAAATACTGAGGGTCTTTGGTGTAATTGTGTATGTGCTTCTTTTCTGCAATGAGGAATCTCCTTGCAGCCACCCTTAAACCAGATTTTTTATTTATTTTTTGCTTAGTTCTCTCATATGCGAGGCAAGCACTGGCCAATTCCTCAGTCAAGTAGCTTTTTCTTACCTGATTGATGAATAAAACTTTGAAAAGTGTGATTTATTGACAAAACATTTGGGGAAAAAGTTTGTAAAACTTCATAAACTCCATTAGATTATAAAATCTTCCAAACCAAGTTCAGGCTTTCTTTATCTTAATAACATTTTCAATCTTTTGATTACCACAGAGCTTTTTAAAACAAACGGTGCAGCAGCTACGAGTTTCCACCTCTAGACTTTGTACAACACAATGAAATCACATCAAAAATCCATTTCTTGAACTCTTCTAAGTTTGAATTTACATTCTCAGGCCAATGAGCTAGACTGTAATTTGACATCACAGCTGCCTTAATTCTAACTGACTTAACAAGACGCCTGAAACTGAGATTTTGGTCCCCAAAAAGGTTGCAGTGCTTATCTATTGCTGCATAATTCTCACCTGCCTCTCAATGGTGCAAATGTCCATTTCCCCCTCCCCACTTACCAGCTGCTGCTATTAACTTGGTGTCATCTACAACAAGTCTCCAACATTTTCTGCTGCTAAGTATGACAAGGCATTTCTGTCCTAACAGCTGCTACTTTGTTTTGGACAATTGTCTGCAAATCTGAGATTGTTGTGTGGGCAAATATCAGCAGATCAACAGTTTCTGAAACATTCAGTCCAACAACGGTTCCACTTTCAAACTCCCGTAAATCACCTTCTACATCCTGATGCTTTGAACTTCAGAAAGTAATTTGTAACATGGGCTAGACGAATAAATGCAATAGGTGGGGACTGGTTAATTCCTTATTTGTTTCAGCAAGCAGCTACCGATCAAAGAGCTTTAATGTTTTATTTAAGAGTAATATAAAAAAAAAATCTGTCAAAATTGGACTTTTTGTTTTCTAAGTTATGGCGCATGCTGTCAATTTTTTCCCACTTAAATCCATTCTAAAAAATTCAGTCAGAAAGTTATCAGAATACTTTAGTTTGTTAGTTAAGGCCCTTTAATCATCTGCTGTTTAGTGGCTTGCAGGCATCCTTCCTTCTTTTCTGCCAAAAACGGGTTTCTTAAATGAATGCCACCCCACCAGGACTTTCCTCTCCAAACATTTATTGTCCTTTTTGGGCTCCTTTATAATTTAAGGCTCTCAAGTTGGCCTCGTAGAACTGCTGCAGAGCTGGAAGGAGCCAGAGGCCCTGAATTCAGCTTCGTGATTACTGCAGCATTTCAAATCTGAGGCGCATTGTATTTCATTGCATTGCTTGAGGTTGTGGAGCATTAGTGAAAAGCTAAAACTGGAAAACTAATGTGCTTGTGTTTACTCCTTCCCCTAGAACTCAGGGATCGACATCGGGGACATTTCTGAGAGGAAGGCCCTGCGGTCCCGACTCAGATGTCGACCGTTCAGCTGGTTCCTCTCCAACATTTACCCAGAGCTGCGCTCGTACAGCAACACTGTTGCTTATGGAGTGGTAAGTCTTCTTTAACAACCCTGATTTCAGTGAATTATATGTGAATAACATATGAGGTTACAAAGACTCCCCACAAAACAATTGTATAGACTTTTGGAATAAATATCACGGCAGCGCAAAATCACAGCAGGGCACCATAATTTCCCTCTGCCTCAAATCCCAGAGGTTTATATTCAGCTCCTCCAACAGGAAATGAAGTATTTGGTGCTATTCACATTTATAATGAAAAAGTGGCCATTTTTATTCTTGTTATACATTTAGACGCTAATACTTTCAAATCAGATTTTGTCTTTTCAGAGACTGTAATTTTCCCCTTTTTTCAATTAAAGACCTTTAATTAAACAGTTTAATTAAATCCATTGGACTCGTACAATTAAACATGTCCAAATTAATGAGTCTCTGTTATGTTCGATCCTTTTATAAATGAGTTGGCACACTGCCGATGTCGCCTATAATTCTCTCTGCAGTCCGCAGGATTCTCAAGTTTTATTTCTGGAGTCTTTGACCATGCTCCACACCACTCAGCACTTACAGTATTTGTCTCAGTTTTTCTAATGCCCATACTGTTAATAAAAACCTTTTTATTGTGATAGTACTCGGCAGTGTAAAGTTGAAACCTTGAACTTATTTATTTATGGACATTGTAAACGCCATTATAATTATTAATATTAAGATAAGTGTCACTAATCTGTGCAGCGGGACATCTGAGTTAAAGATGTAAAAATAGTCAAATATTTAATTAATCTCTTATTGCCAGAGAAAATTTTCATTCTGAAAAGCTGAGAAACATCCAATTGTAAAGTTGCTGCATTAGTAAATAATTGTGAAAAAATAACAGTGACCTACCGCAAATGTTTGCGTCCACAAAATAAATGAAAATAAAAAATATTTTTAATTTGAACTTTACCTTTTTAAATTAAGAGTTTCTAGAAACCTTTTTTTTTTCAGCATGAGTGACTGAGCTCTGCTTCATGAGATAAACGTGAGACGTGACACAGCAGCCCATTTATCTTATCCCTGACCACTAGATCAGACACACTGAGCAATATAGTAAAAGAGAAACCTGCAAGAAGCCTGCATCGAAGGACGGCTTCTTGTGGACACCAGTTCTCCATAAGTCACAACATATTGCATGAAAAGTTAATAAAGGTAGTTGCATTAACAACTGGTTTACATCTGTTTGGTTTCCGTAACTGTACCTGCTTCTGTAATTACACAAGAACAGATTAGACAAATCTAAAACTGGGGCTGAAAATAGACCTATAAATAAATCATGATGCTATTCAAGCATCAGTAATTAAACTGTAATCTTCACATTCACAACAGGTGGAACACCTGAAATGACATGTAATCAATGCTGACCTCCCCAATCTGGATTGCCATAGAGTGGTATCAGAAGCTTAGCAGTAGGTTTCACATCTACTGATTTTGCTCTGCTGATTTCTTCAGTTGTCTGTGTGATGTTTTTGTGCATCACTGAGAGGTGACAGTTTGTCCACCCCTGTGGCTGCTCATCCTGAGACAAGAAGTACAAAAATCCTAACCTGTCTGCTCACAAGATATTTTTATTGCTGTGCAACAATCCTGGTTTTATCTCAATTGTGTAAACTTCACAACAGCTAAAAACCTTGTAATACATGACAACAGTTCTTAATGCAAAAATAAACTTTTTATTTTAATTTTACCTATTTATCTTATTTTGTCTCTACAGGCTATAGTTAAGAAGAAACATTGCAGGAGGCTAAAAACACTGGTAGAGTTTAGATATTAGAAGAAAAAAAACTGCCTTTGTGCAATAAATGAACATGTTTAAAGAGCCAAAGGCTTGCTATTTCAGAGTCAAGCCTTTGTCCCAAGCAAAAATATGTATCAAATGCAAATAAGTCTGGACATAATAATAAGGCAGGAAAGTATTAGTCTGATTTACTTCAGATATTGGAGACAAAAAGCTTAGTTATTGTTTTTATGTCTCCATGATAATTTGATATAAATGATCAAAAGTCTCCTCCTGATCTTGGTGTTGCATATCAGCTGTCAGAGACAGGAGGGTGACTTTATATTAGGGTTGCTGATGAAATGAGTTGTAGAAGAATTGCCTAAATTCAAATGTTTATTTGTATTTGAGTGAAATTGTGGTTCATTTGGATACTGGCTGAACAGCTTTCCATGTGCATTTTGTTTTCTGGCCTTGCATCAATCATGTTCAAACATGCTTTCAGACAATAATGTTTGCCATTTTGTTTACTCATCTGGGAGTCATAACCTCAAGTCATCTTTAAATTACCAAACCATTCTTCCACAGAGAAAAAACATCATATTCGAATAAAACATTGGCAAGTGAACTTAATATTTGATTAAGTTCACTTTTATACTTTTTGGAGATTTTGTGACCACAATTGAAATTTCCCAAATAAGCTTAGTCTGTTTTTTCAGTTTTATGATGTGGCCACCGGGAAGCAAATTGCCTGTATGTTCTGCCAGTGTTTGGTTGGAACTTTAGAAGTTGAATTTTAAGATGACTGTTTCCTTTGAGGCTCACTTAGCCTTCGTTCCTTTGAGCAAGAAGATGATTCGCCAACTTATGTGTGGACTTGACCTCTGACATGTGCATGAAATGGAGCAGGAGCAGAAATCCCTCAGGGGATCAATAATGTATCAGATTATTGTGAATTGCTTTTTGATATGTGACAACATGAGACATTATAAGATAGAAAGCTCAGATCAGCCCTCATAAGCTCGAGCACTACGCTGAAACCCCTGCAGGACCATATGTGATAGGACTGCAGAGGAGCACAGAGAGTCGGTGGGAAGCAGAGATGAATTTGTGATCTTGGAGCCGGAATGATAACTTGTCTAGAGAAGGAGAAAAAGAGCTCTATCTAGGACAGACATTTGCAGTAAATGAAGAAATGTCATTCAAACTACCCGCTCATCTAAAACTCCGAATTTGGCACTTAGGGGATCTGATTTAGTAGACATTTGATTCATCTCAGAATCTGAATGTGCATATGACGCTGTCCTTTATGAGGAAGACGAAAGGTCATGCCAAAGATTGCGAGGGATTAAACAGGCATTTGTATTCAAATCATCTCTTTTAAAAGGTCACTTGTATGACAGAGTTAAGTCGGATCCAACAGACTGTTTACCATTCTCAGGACGTAAATAAAAGATTCACAGCAAATCCTTTGGAGGACGGCAACTTTTCGTCAGTTCTGTTTGGGGCTGCGTGTATAACTTTGTAAAATATGATAAAAAATCTAAAAGAAGAGATGGCAAGCTCAAAACAGGCTGAAACACAGCTGGACATTGGCAAACACTGATGACAGCATGTTGGGAACACAAGACTCTTACATGACTGCATTACACAATGGCTATTTGGTAAGAAATTAAATGCAAAGTTTTCTACTAAAATCAGTTTAAAAAGCGTCACAATTTTAAAGGCTTGCAATTTGTTTTCTTTGGTTCAATACTGATAACTAGCACAATATTTACTGCTCATGTATTTAACATCCGACAGTTAACAAGTAAGTTGCTTAAATATTTTTCTATTAGTTTTAGATTACTGAAATATCTCTCCCCATGAGCAACAGTTAATCTCAAAGTCGTACTAAGTTTGTCATAACATATTATTACCTCTGGAAAGTCACCAAAGCCAATGACTTCTGGTGTTTGCAGGGGAAGTTCAAGAAGGAAAGTACGTCTAAGGAATTTGCTGGATTGTGGGAGCTGGATTTGGCTCAGACACAGAGAAAAAGAAATCATTAATTAGAAAGAGCAGCAACTGAGAATTTGAATTCAATTTGAGTCAATAAAGTGATCTGTGAAAACATCAGCTGGCAGAGGACACCCATAAGGCACCGCTCACTGAATCCAGTCGTCTCCTATAACCAAACCAAACCAAATTTACAACCATTTCTCCGACAAAAAAAGCAAAAACCATTTCTCCTACAGGCAGGCAGGCTGTGACTTAAAAAGGAGAATATCCTACCACATCTATCTGTTTTTCACCATAGAAGTGTACATGTGAGATGTTGTGAAAAAGAAGATTTACATCACTAATCAAGTCGACGTGGACAAAAGCATCTGAAAAAGGTTTTCAAAGCCTTTCTGGGTCTATGTGGTGGGTGTACATGAATGAGAATGACAGTCTGAGATAATGCGTAGCCTCAGCAAATGTTCTCATCATAGCCAAGGTTGGGCCTGTAAAATATTGCTTAGACGTTTTCTTCTTTTTCAAAGTATAAAAGAGATCTGCCTTTCATGCTGCACTTCAGGCCATCTTTTTGTTCCATCACAGGCTTTTCCCAGCCCCATCCACTCTCATGACAACTATCTCATCAGGGTTTGACACAAGCTGTCGGCAGAAACACGTACGAGTAACGACAAGGCAGGGAACATAAAGACCAATAGAATCACGTCCTGCTTCCTTTTGATATGTTTTTTTTTTTCCCCAGATATATAATTGATCTAAATGCAAAAGTCTCTTCAGTTCATTGTCCACTTTTTCTTGAATTACACAACTTTTTAGCAAACTGCTTTTATCATTTAGATAACCTGTACACTTGTTTAAGGCAATGGCTTGCATCTGTAAACATGACACCATTTCTGAAATAAGGGAGAGTCAAAGTCCTCCTTTCTTTTTCTGAAAAAGGAAAAAACAAAAAAGAAAATTATGCCTGAAGGTTTGCTCTGAGCAACAATTTATGTAATTTGATCAATTAGTTTACAATCTTTACTGTGGAGCACAGCCAAGCTAAATGAAAAGGGCTGCAAATCCAAATGGTGATTTTCTATTTGAAAAATTTCTGTAGAGCTGCCAAAAAAAAAGGTGAAGGTTAGTTGAAAGTGTCTGTGTGACTTTCTGCTCGCAGGCAGTAATTATCCTGCACCGATTCCATTTATTCCCATTTTAGCCACCCACTTAGAGCCTGCCATAATGGATTAATTATTTTTTTCAAAGCATCAAAGGACAAAACAAAAGGAAGACAGAGATGCCACAGGAGGCAGTATTTTGTGTAATTAAAAAAAAGAATGAAAGTAACATCTTAAAGTATAAAGCTTAACGGAATATTTTTATCCAAATGTTGATAAGATAAGGATTTCTCTTATCTTTGAGTTTGTCAGGCGTGCCTGAGATCAGTCAGTCTGCCTATTACATATTTACTCATTCATCTCTCCCAGGGGTCTCTAACTCTGGTCCTTAACATCTACTGTCCTGCAGGTTTTAGATGAATCCCTGCTATAACACACCTGAATCAAATAAAGTTCTTTGCCAAAGTTGATGGCGTGCTAAAGAAGTTATTCAATCACATGATTTAGATTTGTTAGTGTCGGGTCGCATCTAAAACTTGGAGGACAATAGATCTCAAGGACTAGTGTTGGGGTTTCCTAATATACACTTTTTGTCTATCATGTAACCATCTGCTTATCCATCCATCCATCCTTCCATCTATAAGAAAATTGTCAAAAAGTCATTGAAAATTAGGAGGTAGAAATTTCAACAAAGAACTTGAGGCGGCTCAGACTTATGGAGCAACTGTAACCAGTGAACATGAAAAACTATTAGTGCCGTGGGAAGCTCTCCTGTTGCTGCGCTTTATGTAGCAAATTAGATCATGACTGATTGTTTCTCTGTGCCAGGCATCATTTAGAAATTAATAACGTTCCCACTGAGGCAACTCATACTTAAATGTACGCACAACCTCATTCTCTTTAGATATAAACACATAGATCATGTTCCTGCACCGAACAGCAGGTTATTTATTAAAGGTAAAACTTTTAAGTAAACAACGACTCAAGTTTTGAATGTTTTGCTCAATCCGGTATTTTCTGGAATTGCATAAAGTTTAAAATCACTTTTTCCAGAATGTATGTGCACCGATGTGCTTTTATTTTTTTAAATTCATTTTTTTACTCTTATTTTTTGTTGAGGGACAAACATTTCTCTACCAAAGGACAAATAGAAAATTTTCCATTACACATGTGGACAAAAATATTTGTACCCCTCTGATAAAGACCAAAAACTCCACAATAGTCAATGAAATAACTTCTAACTGACAAGGGCAATAAAAAAATAATTTCAATAGAACAGCTGAATGAAAATCAGGCCTTACTTTTGAACTGTTTCAACAAAATCATAAAAAAAAAGAGTTAATGAAACAGGACTTGGCAAAACTTATGGTACCTTTATAAAAGACTGAAAATAATTTGACTGCGGGGCAATGTTAAGGTAATCTGTGTCTACTAATTAGCATAACAGGTGTGTTCAAGCTTTTAATCAGGCAGTCTGTCAATTTAAAGAATGACAAGGAGTCAGTTTTCTATTTGGTGACATGGTGTGTACCGCACTAAACATGAATGACAGGAAGGAAAGGAAAAAGTTGTTCCAGGAGATTGGAAAGAAAATGTTAGATCAGAGAACTGATCTAAATCACATTGAAATGTAACATCTGGAAGAGGCAAACCTGAGGCAGCTGGAGCAGTGTGCCGTTTTCTATGGCTTGAAAAGCCTTACATCAACTCCATTATACATATTTTTTGTCACTTTGGCCAAATAGTTCAGTCTTTGAACCATCTATTCACAAAATGTTTCTCCATGAGGAAGTTAGCTTGCACATGTGGGCAGCTACGAATTTCAGTCAAGCTTGAAGGTGGGAGCAAGGACTTCATTTTTGGTTTTTCATGGTGATGTAAAATGTATTTATTTGATCCCGTATTTTATTGACCTAGTGTAAAGTGTGAACTAAGAAAAAGCCTCAATAAATTTGGATTCTTGCACCTAGTTCTTGTAAATAGTGTGCAGGGTGTGTATTTCTATCTGGAACCCTTTGTCATACAGATTATTTCTAGCCTCAAGAAATAATTCATTAAACAAAAACAGAAATGAGACGTGAAGATTCTTGACTATTCAAATCAAAAGCAGGACTGTTTTTTATTATTATTATTTTTATTTTTTTTACAATTTTGAAATGTACTCTTTTAACAAAATGTACATACCAACACTGGATTTTCCACTTTCCCATGACATACACTAATTTAAGTTACTGCACGCCAGAAAATTTTAGTTGATCAGAACAAGAAGCACATAAACAAGACCCAAAGTGATTTGCATTTTATTTCCTTAATATTTCTAACAAAATTTAAATTTGGAGTGTTCAGCAATTCAGCATGTTGTCCTCCACAATACATTCTCCTTTTTAAACTTACATTATTGTTGTAATTTTATTCCCCTTTCCTTTTTGCTTTATTTTGCTTTTCTGTCTTTTTCCAGTTAAAGAACAGTCTGAGAGATGAGCTGTGTTTGGACCAGGGGCCAGACTCCGATAACATTCCCATCATGTATCTTTGTCATGGAATGACACCCCAGGTGAGTGAGTTTTCATTCCCAGGCCTTTCTATTCTCATCTGTCAATTCGATCTCCTGAAGCAGCAGCAGATGCCGATCACGCAGCGATTCATAGGGACACGGTCTGCAGGTGATAGAAGGAGGAACTTCATTATCTCTGATATTTTGAATAGGGGAGTTAGATTGAGCAACCTTTGCAGAATGTTAGAAGTGATTTCTGGATTTCAGCAACCTGAGGTCTTCCTCACACATTAAAGAGTAAAACTTTAAGTAGTAATAATTTCAGAGTTTTAAACAAGTAAATATTCCTTCAAAGTGTTGAGTAAAAATGTTCTAATTATGTAATGTAGTGATCATAGAGCAGCAAGTGCAAATTGAACCCATTAAAGTAGGAATATACATCTGTATGCAAATTAATGTCCTAATTTGCATCACACCACAAATTTATTTATCAGTAATAAACTGATGAGTTTATTACTCTTATCAGAAATAATTAAATAGTTTAATTAGAAATTAAACTATTTAATTAGAAATAATTAAATAGTTTTTTATTCATTTTATGTTTACTTGTATATTTGTATGTTTTTTTTTATTACTTTTTATCATAAACACCTAAATGACCAATTTGTCAGATAAAGAAAAAGGTTCCCATGGGGAGTCCCATTTTCTTGCAGTAAAATCCATTCAATAATGTCTTTTCTCACATAAATAATAGTGACTTCTTCCTTGAGGACAGCTGAACAAAAAGGCATTACATTGATTTATTATTGTTCTCTAAGCTTTTTCCAGGTCTTTAGCTGGTAAATGGTCGATTGCACTTAACAGCTGGTTGCTAAATTAGTTTGTCTGTTGCCTGCTGCCAAAAGCAGCCCTGAGGACCAGTAAGGCAAAAACAATACTAAAAGGCTGCGGAGTTTCAAGGAAGTGCATATTTGAACTTTATTTTTATTTATATTTTATTGGCCTCCGAGTTCAAGTAAAGTGGCTTAATCTTACATTTGGTAACAGATGATTTGGAGTGGAAAAAGTCACATTATCGTTGTGTGAAAAGTTGGCCACTATGGGAATAATTTTTTTTCCATCTAATTCATACATAACATATTATTGAATCGTCATGACGTGTTTTGGCTTTTTCAGTTCAGTTCAGCCTTTTAGCTCTTACAGCTGAAGCAGCAGAAAGGTTATGAGGGAGTAAGCGAGGCCAGTCATCTGCTCTATCAGCTCACTGCAGATTTAGACCTCTTAGTTCCAATGTGTGACTCTAGCTGTGCTTATGGCCTGCCTAATGGAGACTTCGGAAAAACAATTTAAAAACCAACCCACGTTTTCACGACTTTGAAATGGTCTGCAGCACAAAGAAAAGAAAACTGTCCATGTTGCATAAATAGTGCTACAAATTAAGATGTAGACTTCTATATGTTGCAGGCCTGGTGTGTGGAAGAGCTTTGTCTCGTTTGTCAGTAATGTTAATAGCTTTGACCGGCACATTGACATCTGAAACAGCGGTTTGTGCATTAATGTGCCGCTCCTTTCGTTTTGCCTCTCACATGTACTCTACTCTGCATAATCAGCAGGTACTGATAAAGGAACTGACTTGCATTGGTCGATTTTTCTCCCACTGCCACTGCAGTTTACTTACGTCTATGAATGCATGAAGCATAGTTTCTGAAGCTTCTTTCACTTTTTCTTTTTTTCCCTCCAGGAACAGCTTCTTTCGAACAATTTTCCTTAGTTTGACCCCAGTATATTCATGCTTGAAATGTTTTCATATCCACCTGATGGATTTGGCTCAGGCTCATTATGAGCCAGACAGACAGAAATCCAGTAAATGTATTCAGCCTCTAGCAGAGCAGACTGCCTTCATTCCCAGTTAACTTAGACCTATGGGCCATCTTTGTTCCAGTTCTCTGGGGGACCAGATGATGCATAAATCTTCATCTGACCTATGAGAGGACTATGTGTTAAAGTTTGAGTGGCTGCTTTGCCAAAACACCTATAAGGCTTCAATAAAATTTTATTTGAAACCATAATTGTTCTTAATTTTTCTCAACAAACTTAAAATGTTTCAAACATTCGATTTCTTATCAGAGAGCAAGAGAACTAGAAAACAGAAAAATTAAACCCACTTTACTGCAAATATTTTTTTTATATTCAGTACATGTCTGAAATATAATCATGCAAAATGTGTAAAAAGTCTTAAAATAAGTTAATAATTTGTTGCAGTAGCACAAGTCTGTTCTGCAGTTTTTGGGGAACTATAACTTTTATGTTTAGAATTTTATTTTTAGTGAATGGAGGGAAAAAAAATTTGTTTGTTTGTTTGGCTGGTTGGCGTTTTTTAAATCAATGGAGCCAAAACCTTTGGAAAGCTTTTTTAAAATGGAGAAATCTGAAGGCCATCTGTCATTTTGACAGATTACAATCCACACCCTGGACGACTTTGTGCAAAGGTTCAAGTTTACACACAGAATATAGATAACTAAATCAATCAAAAAGAGATCCATATTTGGGAATCTGAGCATTGTTAAAGAGTTATGGAGGCTTTGAAGAGCGGCTGGGACACCTACAGGTAACAAGCTGATGCAGCTGAGTTCACACAGTTCACTGTTGGAGAACTGGAGGAAAGAGGGCCGTCTTGGGGTTTCCAAGCCTCCGTAACAACCAGTAGGTTCGAATACCCTCCAAAGTAATATGTGGAAAAGTACCGCATATCCATTATGAGGTATGGAAGATGATCTCTGATGCTGTGGGCATATTTCTCTTGGTGTTCTGGTGAACTGCCAAGAAGCCACTCCCCTCTTGTTGCTTCTTTGCTCTGCCTGCTACAGATGAGAACCAGGTGGAGTCAATCTCCTGGCAATTGGAAAAGTATTTTAGGTGTGGCTGACCTCTCACTCTTGTTTGAGAGAGTGGCATAGCATGTGTGACAAAAGTGCTGATCACATGCAAGAAACAAACTGTGCAAATCTTTAAAAAACTGTGAAGGACAGCCGGTAAGCTCCGAATACTGTTTTACATGGACTTTAACTTTTGATTGTTTCATGAGAAAAAAAAAGGAAATGTATATATATTTATATGCACTTGGTGTTTATTAGTTAAAGCAGAACATATTGATAGAAAATGTTAATTTATTATACTGTAGAATTAAATGATTTAAATCAGTGGAAATTTATTTTGAGTTTTCACAGTGTATTTGTCCTGTTGAGTTCACGATGTAATTTAGATGTTTCTGTTTCTTTTGAGGGTTTTCACCTGTATGATTGGAGCATCATATAAAAATAAATATAACTAAAATGAAGACTCCTTGAGTGAACGCCAGTTATATTTCACAAAAAGATAATCCTTTTCAAGTTGGGAATGCACAGTGAAATCAAACCAGGAGAAACTTGACACTTGGGGAGATTCAAGGTATCCTAAATTACTGAACTTTTTAAGTTCAAGTATTGTGGCTTCCTCCAGAAAACTGTTAAAGAGACCCCTCAGAGAATTTTAATAGGATAATCCAAATTATATGGAGAAATATAGGAATAGATTAATATATTCCTTTTGAAAAAAATATCCAATTAGTGAAGTTTTATAGAACAATGCTTGATTACAGAACAATATACAAAATTATATATATGGCATTTCAAATATTTCTTTGGGTTTGTTTTGTCATATCTCATGCTACTGCAATAAATAAATAAATAGAAGAAGAAAAATTATTTATTTCAAGGCTTTTCCCACATTTTTCCCATGCGCATCAAGGCAACTGTATGTTGCACGAGTTCATAAGTGTTTGGACACAAGCTGAGCTCTCCCTCTTCAGTTTGGAAGCTAATGTTTTATTTACTGCAAATTAAAAGATTATCTGTGCTTATATCTTTGGAAGAATTTCAGTTTATGCAAACAAATTACTTGCAGTGAGTCCTAATTCAGCCTCTGCACTCCATCATGCTTTCAGATAACAAGGATTTTTAGGAAGGAGTCAAGATATCTGCAGAATTTCCATTGCACATTGTGAAATCATGGAGGGGAACTAATCACTTTGAAAACTCCAGCTCATCATGGTATTTGAATCCGAGGTGCATGCATTAAACTAAGCATGAATGAAGTAGGGGGTATTTTTTGAGCCGTACCTTCTGCTGTAATAAGAGACAGCTTAGAGAGCCGTTAGAGTAGAATAGGTCAAATTCATCATCCTTTCTGCATTTTCCTCGTTCAGACTGCCACTCCTTAAATTAGCCTAATGAAATTTCCCGCTCAAGTGACAATCTCCGCTTTGACAGACAGGCAGTGAAACAATTGGCAGCCTTATTCTTCATCCAAAACAATACCTCCAAAACCAGGGTTTGTACCACGGAGGTTTAAGCTGAAAGCGTGCAGCTGGCGTAACGCTTCATAGCTGATGTCAAACTCCCTGACAACTCCTCTGGTGCTTTCACATCTTCACATATTCATTCTTTATTCATGAGGAATACCTTTTTGCAGTTTTACTCTGAACAGTGCTAATCCCCATTCTGATCTTTTTTTTTTTTTTGTATTCTGGTTTTTCCCGTGCTAATGACAACCTCTTGGTCGTCTCTTCTTAAACAGAATGACTGAACTGCTATGTCCAAGCAGATGGGTGGATGTGGGCTTGAATACTTGATGATCACCTGATCCCCAGTGATGCTTGATTGCTATTCGGTTTCCTTCTCACCCTTTCACATCGATGAGAGGAGAGATGATTAAAAGAAAAATCAGATGACGGCAAAAAAACTGAAGTGAAGCAGAAAGAGTGGAGATGATGACATGTCGTAGTGGGAAGTCTCATAGAGGCGGTATTTAGAAAAGCCTTCTTTAGATGTGCTGTAGAACCACTAAAGCTGTCGCACTCACACTGTTGGTGTCAGATCAGCTTTCTGCAAATGAAAAAGCCTAGGGGAACCGTGTTAATCATAGTTTCAGGCTGGAATAATCTGGCATACTGAAACCTAAAAAGATTCAGCAAGCCACACATTAAAGCGTGTGTGTGTGCGTGTGTGTGCGCATGTTTTTAC